TAAATTATTTTAGATGTGATTGTTAAGCTCCCTTGAATCAGAAATTTAGGAAAGACGTCAATCAAAAGAATAACGCAACTGATAAGGTAAAAACGTTTTCGGCGAAATATAATAGGCCTTCAGATGTCATGATCGTTCATACAAGTTCTATGTGTAATACTTTACCCATGTACGGCCTAGGTATCTATCTGCCAGGAGGCAACGTAGATGGCTGATAACTCTCGATATCGGTTGAAATAAAATGTACATGTCACCATATTCATTACTCATCAATGCAAGAAGATTTTTTTTGCGATTTTTCAATTTGTTTTATTTAATATCCATTTAAACTTTCGCCTAAATCAAAACAACAGTTGTTGAATTGCCAACCAGATTCCACAACAAAGTTGAAAGTTAAATAAATTTCAGTGACGAGGGAACATTTTTCAATGCATATCTTTGTAACTGCAGATGACATGATAAAACATACTAAAGTGGCAAAACGATTGAAACTTCCCTTATCAGAGCCGAATTCAACATTATCTGGAAAGTTCTTTAGACTTTCGTGACAGTTTGAGCAGTTGCTTGAGTACAGTGACGCAACGAAACGATTTTCCATATCTTACTGTCGTAACATCATACTAATAATTTTGTTATTAGTTGTACGTTCGCGTGGATTCAATCATGTCAAAATAGATGAAAGATTGCAATTAAGTTTGTTAGCTTAGATTGTGTTTTGTAGACCTAACCAGGTTCTAACTCACATAAGAAAAATTCTTATCATTCCAAAATTCCACAGCCTGCTGAGGGCGCAAAGGGCATATCTAATTAACTATAATATTTAAAGTCTTAATACACTATACTAAAGTTTTTTTCTTCATGTGACACAATATAAAGCCAGGAAGCGTTACTGATCCTCGTGAAAGCAACATAAACTTGGTCATTAGAAAAAGAGACGATTCTCAAGTCAACACCAGCAACTTTTATTCTCTCGAAATATATCGAAGTTGATCAGAATTCAAACGTTCGTTGCGGTGTAAAGTTCACATTTGATTTACATAATCACAGAGATATTAATAACACATATTAATTTGCTTTCTTTATTTGAATACCTACTTTAACCCAAACGCAGTTGGTTTAAGGAGTTGTGTTGGGTTGAGTATATGGCTCTGGCGTATCATACAGAAGAATTATAATTTTGTTTGGTTATGTTTTGTATTTTTAAGACCAAAATTACAATAATAATTTTCTGTTCATTTATATTATTGGTAGTTTAATATCTATACATATATATTAAATATTAAACTCAATCATGAAGTTGTTACTCAGTCAACATCAAAATAATCAGAATTCATACATCGGTAATTGATTTGTAAATATTTAATCAAACAAATTGCTTTTCATCTGTCTCCAACCAGACACACTGGGGGTTTCGCTGTCGGGTTCAATAAACACTCACGATTCCACATATTAATTAAATGTTGTGACAAAAATAAGTGCGAAAACTAAAAATCGATTGTTACAAAATATGAAACAGGAAAATGTACTCACCTTAGACAAGGTGGGCGCACTAATTATGATAAAATTACCAACGACATTTGCAAAAGCTACTTAAATTACACATAATTCAACGATTTAATTTTAAAATTGGATTATTCCGTACGAAATAAAGAAAGAAGTACAAAAAGAAGAACCCATGATTCGTGGAGTTCCTCTATAGTACCTGCATACTAAAACGCTAAAACATTATTCCGTTATTAATTTGCTTATCATCATTACTTAGTGTTGGTACTCACGTCTTTTTACGACTAGAGCACACAATATCATCCCTTGAGATGATGGCAAGAACATTTTGCGGTCATCGACAACTCGAAATAAGCTAACTCATACCTATAGTGTGTTTGCGTAGTCCTCAGCAAACAACTTTAGTTAATGAAGGTTTGACATTTGTTTGCCAAAAGTGACTCCACAGATATAATAAGTAGTGGATAAGCTTAATAATATACAGCTTGAATAGCACTCTCGAGAGTTTAAGGATTTGGATTTAAAGAAATACTAGTCATATTATTGACGCTAACCTTTTCTTTTTTATAATTAAATTTATATGTCGGCGTGTAATCAGAAGGGCCTATTACGAAGCCCAAATAGATCGTCCATATCGGAGAACTATCTTTAAAATAACACTGCAAGCATGTATACCAACGTGGATTTGTTCCATTTTATCAATTTTCATACGAAAATATAACGAGATGAGCGTGATGTCGTCGGATGTCTTTACTCTTCGGCGTTTGGAAACAGAACGTGTGGCAAAATGGCGGCAACTTGCTTTTTATTAACGAACTGTCAAAGTCAGTGTCACCATTCTAATAAAATTAAAAGTATCGATGATCACGCTCTCTCTACAATCGAGTAATTAAGTAATCGAGTAACAAGCAAATAAAATAAAAGAAACTAAATCAAACGATCTTCGTAAAGATGATGCGACATATATAATTGGGGGTATTATTTGATAATAGACTAGATCAATATTTTTTGAAACACACTAATCTACAACTAAGTCTCGGATACCATATAATCATAACCCTGTATAAGTTACTAAAATACTTGCTTGAAATTAATGTCATGATAAAATATTAGCCATCATAGTAAAATAGTGATTCGATGCCGACAATCATGTGTTCTGTAAAACTCTCGAGTTTCTTATCAACCCACTTATAAAAAAATATGAGTCTTTTATATGTCATCTTAAGTTCAAATAAACTCGAATAATTAGATTTTTATATATTTTATGTTATTATTGCTTAGGTGTCGTTAATAAACGAGTTTCGACAAAGTAGCTTAACGGAATAAAATTAGTAATTTTTTAAATAATAACACAAAATAAAATAATCGAGAAAATATAACACGTTTTCATTATGTCGCTTAGAGTGTCATGAAAAATGTTATGAGCCGTTTTCCTGCCTCAGTACAAAAAATGTATAGTCAAATTATTTCCTCGAATTAATTTTCTAATGGATCATAAAGTGTGTTGTCGAGTGAAAAGAAAGTTGCGAATTATTAATACTTTTTTAATTTCGTAATTTCTTCAATTGGAATATTAAACGCACATCAAAATATTAGCTTTATTTGTTAGGCAGAGAACAAAATAGGACATAAAATAGACATATTACACTATTTAATATTTAGTATATTTACCATTAAATCATTATAATTAGTGATGTACCGTGCTCGGGTATATTGCCAAGGACTGGAAGTTTTGCCGAGTACATTGCCGGCAGCGTTTCTTAAGTGGAAATTCACTGAGAGTATTGGGTAAATCATCTACATTTTTTTAATGTTTATGTTAATTAAATTAACTCTATGATTATATATGTACTAAATGCAAAGGCATTAAGCCAAAGTTCCCGGCAAAATTCCCAGCTATATTTCCAGTTTATTGCCAACGTAATTCCCAATGAACTTCCCCAATGGTGAATATGAAAGTAATTACCTATACGATACAATGTCATTACTGAAGTCAACTCTTTCAGTGGAGCATTTAGTAACATTCTAAATCAAATAAAATCAAAATATTTGTGAATCTGTGAATTCGTGTTTTCTATCAAACATTGGTTTCCAATTATGAGCTATAAAGCAGAGTTGTTTGCTGTTTCTGTTAGTTTGTTTCTTTGATTAATATGAATATGTGAGAATGATGAAAATGACCTTTTTATTGGGAATGATTTGGAAGATACAGTTAAAGGTATGCGTAGATAGATAGATAACACTTTATTGCAAACACCAAATACAAAACATACAAAGAAAAAAAAAAGAACAATATTAAGTTATGTGTCACAATCGGCGGTCTTATCACTAAATAGCGATCTCTTCCAGACAACCTTTGGATGGAGAGATGAACTATCTTAAAAGTACGGGGGTGTATGATAATCTTATGATTACAATAGATATTAAATAAATATACATTAAACAAACATAACTTCATATAAGCGTAAACATACTACACAAATATATATATAGATACTATCCAAATAAATATAGCAAACAAAACTATAGTCTGTCAATAAAAAGAAAAAAAAATAAAAAAATAAATAAAGCAGTTAATTCAATAAAATAACTAATGTGATAGGTAAAATTCACTTACGCGCATTTTAAAAGAGTAAATGATTGCGAGAGTCTTATCTTTACTGGTAGAGAGTTCCAGAGACGCACAGCCCGAACAGTAAAAGAAGCATCGTAAAAGATAGTGCTGTGTGGTGACATTTCAAGTATCAGATTTTCTGATGACCGTAACGAGTATGAATTGGAGTTCTGAAGAAAACTGAAGCGTTCTTTGAGATAACGAGGGTAGAAAGGATTGAACAATATATTGTATAGAAGATATAGGATACGAGCATTTCGGCGAAGACGAATAGGAAGCCACTTGAGTTCAGTGCGATAATGAGAGACATGGTCATACTTGCGAAGGCCAAATATGAACATTATGCAGAAGTTTTGAAGGCGCTCAAGTTTATTTAGCTGGTCCTCCGTAATATTTAGAAAGCAGGCGTCAGCATAGTCAAGAACAGGAAGTAAAAGAGACTGTGCAAGCACAACTTTAGTGGCAGTGGGCATGAAATTACGTAATCTCCTCAAAGAAGCCCCAGAAGCATACAACTTCCAACTAATCGACTGAAGCTGTGGTGCCCAACTGAGTGTGTCATCCATTATTACTCCCAAATTCCTTACTGTTGCACTAAATGGTATAACGATTCCATCAAAGGTTATTTTAGGAAGTGTTTGAAAGTCAACCTTAGCTTACAACCTGGAGCTACCCACTATCATAACCTGAGTTTTTAACGGGTTAGCTTTCAGTCCAAATGATTCAGTCCATTTATTGATGCGGCACAAGTTAACATTCGTTGACGATATCGCTTCAGCTAGCTGTGAAAGTGGAGCCTGACAATAAATCTGAAGGTCGTCTGCATATAGGTGGTAGGAACATGAAAAATTATGAGAAATAGCATTTATAAAGGTTGCAAAAAGTAGCGGTATAAAAGTGGCATACTTTAATTATAATTTAAAGTATGCCACTTTTATATTCTGTCCGAAGAATTTATACAAATGGACACGGACTCTTCTAATACATCTACTAGTTTTGCTATACAATAACTCTTCGGTATTGATACAAGTAACTGGTATATAATTGTTATACATATTCTATGATTAAAACTTGACTCCGAATCGCGTAAATATGGAGATTTAATATAATAAATAATAAATATTACACAATATCACATACATTGTTCAGATTCCAAGATGAGTAGTCAAAGCCCCCGTATTATGGAGTATCTGAGACAACGAAAGTAACACAACACCCAGACCCCACACAATATAGAAAAGTTCATTTTCTACATTGACCCGACTGGGAAACGAACCCGGGACCTCAGAGATGAAACCGGCGTGCGAATCACTCGGCTACGGAGGTCGTCGGAGGGAGTCGAATATAACTAATAGTATACATTTTAAAGAACTTACTTTTAAACAGTTTCAATACTTTTTGACTAACCGTTATAGAGCACTCGCATTCCTAAATAACAAAGTAGTTTCAAATAAAACACAATATAATAGTACCGTTAGTAACAATAGTGTAGTTAAAAGTGTAGTTAAATTTAAGGCGCTTCATGTTACGATAACGCAATGTGCATGTTGTTCCGACATACATAAAATGAGTTCGTATAAAAAGCTTGCGAATCAATCTGTCGACCAAAGACGTAATTTTGTTTAAACAAATAATTTATGTTGTAATCGCTTAGGTGTCAATCATAGAGCTAAAGCTTGAATGAATGAATGAATGAAATACTCTTAATTGTACACACCATAAGTGAATGAACAAATATAAAATAATCTAACAGAACAGTACAATTGTCGGCGTTATTGCTAAAAAGCAATTTCTCCAGGCAACCTTTTTGCAATGTTAAGGCACATATAATAATAATCATTTATTGCATGTCATATATTTTACATACAAATTCAGATTTAATTTCAAATAATTTAAATTTAAAAACAGTTTTTTTTTTTACAGTTTCAGTCCTAAATTAATTAATAACATTATAGATTTTCTTGAAACATATATTTTCGTTAATAAATTATTAATCCTATTTATTATTAAAAGATTCATTAATATTATAATAGCATTTGTCAATGAGGTATGTTTTTAAATGTTCAGTAAATGGTTTTAGTTGTTTAACTTACTTTATTTTGTTCGGTATGTTGTTATATATTTTGATTGTCATCGAATGGGGATTCACCGTGACAATTTTTAATTTAGAAAATCCGAGCTTTATTTTGTTTTGATCGCGGTCTTGTTTTTTAAGCTTAGTGGTTTGGACAGGAGAATACAGCTTTTCATGTTTTCTTACAAATTTAATCAAGGATATACAAACAAGTCAATATCAATATGGAATGTTTTTTAAAGCGAGGTCTACAGGAATCCATTTTGTCAATTTTGGTTTATATTCTGATACATTTCTTTTGCTCGATAAAAACACTTTGAGCAACAGTAGAGTTTCCCCACAAGATATTACCATATGATAATCTAGAATATGCAGTAAGAGCAGTTTTAACAACATATATGCGAAAGAAGATATTTTTTTGTTAATTTCTGTAAGCGAGACTTCAAATTTAAATTGCTATCAATATCGATACCCAATAAAGTTGCGGCGTCTACGGTTTCCAATTTTTTATTTTTGTAAGTATAGTCAATTTTTAATTGTGTTCTTTGATATGGTTTGAACTGAATTAGCTTTGTGTTTTTAGGTTGATTTTGAGATTATGTTTCTTGAGTCAGTATTCTCTAGTATTATTGAGTATACTTTCTACCTCCACTTTGGTAGAGCAAGGAAAGAGAGGCGTTATGCCATCCACGAATAAATACTCTGAGCTTCGATTTGATTTAGAAGATCATTTATATTCACTAAAAACAAAAAAAAAAAACAACCGAAAACAAGCCTTGAGGGATAAAGCTCGCTAAGGGAATTACATTTGATTTTAAATTTTCTATCGTAACTGTAACATAATCTATGTTTTGTATTTCAACTATTTGCAAACGGTTTCTCAGAAAGGAAACAAACCATTTATAAGTTGTACCTCTTACGCCTGTTTCGTAAAGTCTAGAGAACAGTATATCGCACTTTTTTTTGAGAAATGCGTTACGCATACCCGCTTCACCCAGCACGGGCTTCGCGGGTTATGTGGGCCTCCTCCTGTGGCCCCACCCCCGAATGGGTTAGGCAAGAAACAGGAGTTTACCCACCAAAACTCAGCGATGTCCCTCGCATGGAAGGCGATATACGGGATCGGCCCGAAGGCCATACACCGCGCGGTCAGTATATCGTACCTAACACAATTGCTTTGCTCATATCGAATAATAAGCCCACGGCGTATTTAATCTAGGTAATCGTCGTCATCGATTTGAACCAGTGCCTTCTGGGCTTGAGATCTTACGGCATCCCATCTAAGTTATTTAAACCCAGTAGTCAGTGGTGAAATATACCTTCGTATTCCAATGATGTTGTAGCAATGTATCAAAAAAGGTGGAATAAAAGACTTTTTTTTTAATGAAACCTAGCTAGATCATTGTTTCTCCCCCGAAACATATCAAATTTCATAAAAATCGTTGTAACCGTTTCCGATTCCAATTCTATATTATATACAAGAATTGCTCGTTTAAAGGTATTTGATTTAACACAAGTAAAATCCTCACTCTGAAAGTCCAGATTCAACGTAATAAAAAAACAATTAATTTGAATAAACACAGTGAAAAAACAGAATAATGGGGACATTTGAAATTCTGCCTTTGTTTTATCGCGCTACGATCGTTAATGGAGCTTTAATATTTGAGGGCAGTTGGCACCTTATTTAATGTCCTTCTCATTTATATACCGAAAATAATTTGAATGGCTAATGGTAGTTTCAATATGCTTATGTATGTACATTCCATCGTCAAGACGTTATATGACATTCGTAAGATTTTATATCTTAAGGAATTTTAAAGAAACCGCCCAAGTGCAGATTCGACTCCTATCCGCCTGTCGCGAGTGATAGGCAGATAGGAGTGTAAGTGTCTATAGGGTCCCATTTTTACCGTTTAGGTATGAAACCATAAAAAGGGAAGGCATACCAACATCGATATAAATTTTTTCGACAAGAGATATACCTCGGCGTCTTCGTAGCTGAATAGAAAACTTCTTCAATAGTAGTTGAAAAGAAAAGAATTCCATTCGTGCTATGCCTCAGCCTGTTGATAGACGGAGTCTATACTTCTATACGTAGTACATATACAACAAAGCCGCTACCCGCTGTCTGTCTGAACGCTGAGGTCTTTGAAACTGCACAGTGAATTTTAATGCGGTTTTCATCAATATACAGAGTGATTCAAGCAAAAAGGTTTATATGTATGATACAGGACGCGGGTAAAGCCGCTAGGCGGAAAGCTAATCAAATGTTAAACATTAAAAGATATATAGGTAAACAGAAGTATCCAAAAGATTTCATTTCTAAATCTATTCAGGCTTTATATTTACAACAAAAGAAAATGAAATAACCGTCATATAAGTATTTATTTGGAAAATAATGATCGTAATTATTTATAGAAGGAATGTGGCTTTTTTACTCATCCCCAAGGGATAATTTACCAAATTATTCAAGATATATTGTTGTTTTATATTTTAACCTGTAATTTAGACGGAAAAATAAAGTGAGTGTTACATAATAAAACGGTGTAATTTGTGGCTTTTTTTTTCATTTAAGAAAACAAATATAATATGAAAAGATTTGCACCTTATTTGTTGAGGAATACACAGAAAAAATACATGACTGAATTGAAAAAAATCTTTAATCTATCTTTCTTTTCTCAAATTTCGCGCCCCTTTGTAGTATCCCGCCCCTAGGCACTTATCTATGATAAGCCTCTGCTGATACGACGGAACACAATACAAATTTTTAATAAAAAGATCTCTTTGATAATTTTATGATGTTTCCAGCCAACATTCCAACGAGGCGTCGAAGAAAAATACCTAAAATATTAATCGTAACAGAATTATAAAAGGAGGCGCTTGGACAATAAATTCCATTCGAAATAATATCACAAAAAATATTCTAGCAAAAAATTAAATCAAAGCGATGTTTTAATATATTCAATATTTTATCTCCGTTCAAAGATTATACATAAGGCTTCGAGATAATCTTTTTCAAATATTAAAAACGTAAAGCCAATCACCGTCGATTAAGTGAAACGAAATGTTTAAAGAAATAAAAAATACATAAATTCCTTAACGAAGACTCTTCGAAATGGTTCAGAATTATCGGATTCGGATTATGTGTCTTTGTATTCGTGCTAATCCACGGAAGTACTTCGATGCTTCCAATTGAAGATATATGTGAGACCGCCCACGACACATCTGCAGTAATCTGTCTGCTAATATTTGTTATTCCCTATAAAGACTTAGCTCTAAAGACATCTACACACTGTTTTACCAACAGCAGAGGACTGTTGTATATAAATAAATAGATATCAAACAATATCACATAAAATATAGATAAGTAGGTATATCACGTGATATGATTTGAATGCTATTGAAATCGAATTAAATGGCTTTATTGTTAAGGTTGAAGTTTCTACATAAGAATGTGTCACTGGAAATGATTTCGCTTGACGTATTAACTTCGGCTATTTGATTGATACGACCAATTAATAAAAAAGGCAAATGAAACTGTCAAAACACAATACATTTCTTTCGGCAGACGTGTATAAATCAATCTTATGTTGTCGTCGAGGATGTCGGGATTATAATTTGAACACTCAGATTATATATCTAAACTTATCTTATAATTACAATAACAAAAAACCCGTTAGCTCCAGCGTTTTCAGTTAGTTGTTTTTCACGCAGGCGGGTTATTTTTTTTTATTATTATTTTATTTCTGTGTTTTTGTATAGACAAATTACCAAGTTAGTTCAGAAAGTGAAAGAACAAAGTCCATATTTTTAAACTTTTTCATTGTATTAATTTTATTAGTATTACCGTAATAATAATTATGGCATAACTTTTTAGAATTCTTGTATTGGGCCCTCTTATTTAATAGATATTGTAGTATTTAAAACAAAACTAATTTTCTTATTAAATATAATGGCATCGCACAGCCGTATCTACAAACACTTGGGCTACGAAGACAAATCTAAAGATATCTCAATTATCTAAAGCCGTTCAGCGGTGCTGGAGATATGACGGAATATTCTTTATTAATATTATATACATGTAAGATATGATAAAATGAAAATTCTTGTTAAACAAAAGAGCTGCTGCCAATGACGATTCAATACAGAAAAATGCGGCAAGTACAAAGTGGGTACGAGTCCAAAGAGTCTCTTAGAGAATTTATAGTCATAATAAATATATAAGCTTAAAGAAACATGAATATATACATCGGTGGTTGTCACTATATGACATATTAATAGTTTCAAGCTTTAAAGTAACTATCATTTTTTTACATTACTAGACAAGCACGGCACTAAAAATCGCTCGCTTTATTACTGGTAACTACATAATCAGTGTAGCTGCATGAACGAAGTGATGAAGTTTACTATCTGAAAATTTACCACAAAATTACCACTCTTGTATTCTGAATATTTTATTTAGTAGGAAACAAAAGTTTTGTTCATGTAAAAAGGTAAAGGCTACGCACACATAAATAAAAAAGAAATTATATCAACGCACGCGAGCAAAAGAGATAGAGTGTGGTACGTCAGACTATTTTCAATGAATTACTGGCAAATCCTAACAACTG